GGGCAGGGTCCTGGAACAAGCGGCTCCTCCAGCTCCATATCCCCTCCTCGGCCTTCACTCAGGAACATCCAGTCCGACTTCAATAGCTATTCCATGTGACAGGACAGCCACCCTATGTGAACCGCACCCCCACGTGTTCCTGCACGTTGGGGATCGCATGGGGGGCAGTGTTGCTATTTCCAATTTGCTTCTCAGCAACCTTCCAGTGTGTGTGTGCATGTGGTGGGAGGAGGGGGCGGGAGAATGGAGCAGGTAGGTGGCCAGGAGAGCAAGTAGCCTTTCTCTTGGCAGAGTTTTCAGGCCTAGAGAGTCCTGGCTTCAACGATCACTCTCGAACCTAATTAAATGGACTCCCTGTAGTTACCCAGCAAGCAACTGCCCCAGGGTTTATAGATAAGAAATTACTGACCAGGCTGCTTTAGGCTGAAGTCAGAATGTCCCTTGCCACCCACATTCCTCCACTCCTAAGCTGTATGAAAAAGCCCATCGTGACCCCAGAGAGCTTTCTAGAATGGACACCTGTTTCCAGTGATCTGAGGGTGGAACAGAGGAGCCCACCGCATCAAGTCTAAAGCTGGCCAGTATAAAGGCTCCGGTAAAGTTGCTGCTGACTTTGTACTGAAGGCACAAGGGTCCTTAGCAGGCCTCTCAGGGACACATACCCCTCACCATCCTTCCCTCATTCACCCCTTCTTGCTAGGCCCGTTTTGCACCTTCTGTTTGTAGCTTTGGAGGGGTTTCTGTTATACATAGACAGTTCTTTGACCTCAGAACAAGAGGTCCTCAAGATCCTCTGCATCTGGGACCAGCAGTTGGCGTAATGGCTATGTTGCTGGATTCCCATGTAGTCGATTGCGCTTAGACTCCCAGCCCCTGTGGCTTAAACTCACGCCGGGCACGTGTGCGTGCATGCCCAAGATCCCGAGAGGAGAATGGAGGAGAAGGGATTGTGGCGTGGCCATCTTCCCTAGGGGGTGAATTCTTGCTCTCTCTCTGTCTCTCTCTGTCTTTCTGGCAAGCACACACGCCCTATAGCAAACACCTTTCCAAAAAAAAAAAAAGAAAGATCCTCTGTATCTGGAGCCTGGGCCCGTAGAGGCGAGGGCGCTCCACACAGAAAGCACCCACAGCATGCAGGAGGTGAAAATAGTGCTTTAATACCGTTTGGTAATACCAATGGTGCTGAGTCACAGCCCTGTAGAGGGTCATGAAATCAGTTCAGAGGATAATGACCAGCATCTTCAAAAAAAATGAATGAATCCAGCAGATGGTGTAGCAGTTATGTTGCTTGGACTCCAAATGGCAAACAGCAGTTCAAGTTCCAGACCCAGTCCCTTGAAAATCTAGCTGGGTGCATGTGTGTGTGCGCCCAAGATCCTGGAAAGAGAAGGGAGGAGAAGGGATTGGGCCGTGGCCATACCCCCTGGGGAGTTACTTCTCACTTTCCCTCTCACTGTGTCTATTTCTCCAGCAAATGCAGGTGCCCTAAGGTAAAATCCTCTTAAAAAAAAAATTAACTAGACTACAATTCATGCAATAGAAAATATAAGACTGCTGAGGCCGGCAGGTGGCATGGTGGTTAGGGGCACTGGACTCCCACATGGTCAATCACAGTTCAAATCTTGAACCTGGTGGCTTGCTTTCTCATTTTCCTCTCTCTCTTACTTTCGCTCTGTCCTTCTCTGGTCAAAATAAATAAATAAAAGTAAATAAAATAATTTTTAAAAAATCAGACTGCATGTGCATAAAAAGGACAAGAATTGTCCCATGAAACTTCTGTTTCAGTTATCTCACAATAGATAATATATTTCTTGCTAGGGGTCACTGAAGCCCTGGACAAAAGAACACTGGAAAAGACATAAAGGCAAGATGCACACCCATAAAGGTCTCTTGTTCTGTGTCAGACACTATACAAGGCACAGAGACCCGATAATGAATGAGGCAGCCCGCAGTCTTAATCTACCTTCTGGTTAGGAAGCCAATAAGCAAACAGTAGCAAGACATGGTACTAAGTGCCCTGAGACAGTCTACAAGAGGCCATAAAACTGATATGAAAGTGAGCATCCGGGAGGGTTTCCCAGAGGAGGTGATTAAGTCAGAACTCTTAGCAAGACAACATAGTGACAAGGTTTGAGTATCTCCTCCATTTTCTAGATAGGAAGGGAACTATTTACAGGGTCAAGAGGTTTTGTTTGTTTGTTTTTTGCTATAGGGCACGTGTGCTTGCCAGACAGAGAGAGACAGAGAGACAGAAAGCGAGAAATCACCCCCCCAGGGGGGATGGCCATGCCATAATCCCTTCTTTTCCATTCTCCTCTCGGGATCTTGGGCACGCACACACATGCGCCCAGCGTGAGTTTTAAACCACCGGGTCCAGGACACGAACTGCGGCCGACTACATGGGAGTCCAGCAACATAGCCATTACGCTAACTGCTGGTCCCTATAGGGTCAAGAGTTGTATTCTTTTTTTTTTTTTTTTTTTTTTTGAGACGTTTTTGCTATAGGGCGCATGCGCTCGCCAGACAGACAGAGAGAAAACGAGAAATCACCCCCCAGGGGGGATGACCACACCGCAATCCCTTCTCCTCCATTCTCCTCTCGGGATCTTGGGCATGCACGCACACGTGCCCAGCACGAGTTTAAGCCACCAGGTCCAGGACTCAAACCGTGGTCGACTACGTGGGAGTCCAGCGACTTAGCCATTACGAACTGCTGGTCCCAAGAGTTCTATTCTTAAGGTCTAAAGACAAAGTCTGTTCCTGCCTCTATTCATGAGTTGTGAGATCTCATGTAAAATCTTTCCAGACCTCATTTCTTGATCTATGAAATGGGCATAATATCTGTTCTATCAACCTCAAAGACCTCTAATGTGTGTAAAAGTACTTAATAACTATAAAGAGGAGGAGATTGTGTCTGTAAAAAGGAAATGGAAGCTGAGGTGACAGGTCTCATCTAGCACTACCGTGGATGTAGCGGTCCCAGCTTTAGTCCTCTGCTTGGGCCTGTATTCCTCCCACTGCAGCCTAACTACCTTGCAAAGGACAAGGGCAGAGTCCAAAAGCACCCTTAGCAACCTAACTGTTGAAGGTTTACCTAAAGGATCCTAGCATTTCAATGGTGGGAGGTAAATGTCAGAATTTTCCATTTCTCTTTCTGTTAATGAATTAGGAACTACCGAATTCAGTGTTTAAAGTTACATAACATCATTCAGATCTTCTATAACAGCCACTTTCATTTTGGGAAAACAGCATTACAATTAAAATGGAGTTACATAAAAAGGTTTAGTGTGTGTAGGAACAGGCGAGCATGCGCGTTGCGGAGACACATGAGCATATACATCTCATGACCTCACCTGTCCTCATGAAGGCAGAGCCAGAGGAGGTAGGTGTTGATACTACCTAGTGAGCATCTTCCAGTACCAGTAAGACCTTTAGCTTGTTGGACAATGGGGACTGCAGCAGGGAGGCCATCCCCTGACCCCAACCTCCAGGGACCTTCCTGAAGCCCCTTCTTTGGCAGAGAGTTCCACTGACCAGGATATGAGCGCTGGAAATAGCTCAGAAGCCACCCCACACAATTTCGCCCTGCATGGCTCTTGCTGGCTTTGACCTGAGCAGCTCCCTTCACCCCCAGGCAGCCCATGTGGACAGATGTGGATCACTGATACTGAGGTGAAATCTGCCTTTCCTGAGCAGAGAACAAATGTAGGTTCCTCACCTATAGCCTTAAGCGGGGGATTTACCAGACTTCAGAGTCCCGAAGGAGGCTGGGAGGGTGCCCTGGGTCTTAGAAAACAAGAGGAAGGACAGCAAGAGCACACACTTCTGAAGCTCTTCCCTGAGAGACTCTACCCATCTAAACTGAGGCTAGGATGGAGGGGAGGGGAAGCTAAACTGACAAGAGGGAAGCCTGGATAGAAATTAGTGGCTTTGTGCAAAGCCATGCACCTCATGTCCCATTTGAAGTGTGTAGGAGAGTGGGGCGGCATGTCACACAGTCGCAGGGTCAGTTTTGGCTGACACTCTGGAGTTCTAGATCCGCCCCAAAACACACACACCTCTTTCGGGATTCGATGGTTCAACTCTTAAGTGACTCAGTGGATCTTCGTTTCAGGGGCTAAGCACTAAGTAAGGCAACTGCCCGAACTCCCACACCCCCTGGACCAACCGGGGAGAGCCTTCGCGGCTCGCCCAGGTTACCCTAGGAGCGGAACCATTCTGCCTTCTCCAAGTAGAGCGGTTGAGACAAGAGCTTCCCAGCACCAAGCGGGGAAACGTGAGCTTTGGAGTAGCCTTTTAAGTAGTTGGGAAGGAGGTGTGGCCGAGGAGACTGGGAGGCCGCAGCCTGGCGAGGGGGAGTGGCCCGGGGGCGTGGCCGCAGCGACTGGAATGTTGTTGGGTCCTCGGACCGCATAGTAAGGAGGGGCCACGCCCCCTTTCTCCGGGAGGACCAATCGTGGTGTTGGAGCGGTTTCAAGTCTCCCCCGCCAGCCTGCCCGCCTGCCACCCCACCCCCCTCGGGGATTCGCTTTTTTCGTAACAAAATAGCAAGGCTCGGGACTGTCCGCAGCCCCAGCCGCTC